AAAGCTGGCCAAAAGTCAAAAAAAAAAATCCCTATTTTGAATTTATTATTTTGAAACTACATAAACAAAGCCCTGTTGCATTTTATTGTATAAGAAAAATTGTATAAATTTTAAAGTTGAGAAAAGAGCAGCCGTGGCGCAGTGGTTAGAGTACTGGCTCAGAACCCAGAGGTCCGAAGTTCGACGCCAGCTCTTGCCCAAAAAGCGACATTGGTACGGAAGGAGGCGTGAACTTCCTATTAAATGCTCTCCCGCGGTGCTCTATGATAAGACCGTAAGGACTTCTGGGAGCACCTAAATACATACAAAAAAAAAAAAAAAAAAAAAAAAAAAAAAAAAAAAAAAGTTACCTATATCTACGCAGTTAAACATCTGTTATTAAAAACACTTAATTGGCGTTTTAAAAACAAAAAAAAAATGTGGTTAAATAAGTATCGTTTACAAAAAAGTTATTTATCGTTACTAAAAAACTAACTATGGACGATACTATTCAAGGTATTTATATAATATTTTAGTAAAAACTTTTATATTATTTCTCTAAATTTTATGCGAAAAGTGCGAACAAAAAAGTACAGAATAAAGTTTATTTATTTTCTTTAACCTATTTTTCAAGCATTGAAAAAGTAGTGAACCCGCGAGATTCCGCTTAGTTATAATTTGGATGTTGTTCATAAAAGTGTATTCTAAAGATTGGTTAAAAGAAAAGGCACCTACTTTTGTCTATTACTTCATTAACTTATATTGTGTAGTGCTAGTCGTGTTTTTTAGTAAACAAAATGGCGGTGTTTTGTTTTCTTTACAAAATCAGTCAAATTGTATATAGTTATTATGTTTCTTGAGAAACTGATTTTGTTAAGTGCAATAAAACTACAATAAAATTAGTAGCACACATGAATGAGATTTTGACAAAGTTAGAGTGTAGGGGGGGGGGGGGACAAACCCCCTCGGTTACGACGTCTTTTTTATCTCAGCAACGACGATTTTTGTATAGTTTTATTGAATTTTTCAAAATCAGTTTCTCAAAAAACATAATAACTATATCAATATACAATCATATGATTAACAGTATATTTTACCTTTCTCTTATATATCGAATTTATATAATATAATATATTATCGATTACTTTTTATTTTATTTTTAATTAGTTTAGTAAAGTTATTATGTTTTTATGATTTTTTCAATTATTATATTTTCAATTAATATCTAAGGTTCACAAAAAGATCATTTTCAAATTCCTCGAATTGAAATTTTTGAAATTTTAAAAAACGAGTTATCTTCAGATCTAGATGACCAGCTTGATGTTTTGCAATCACAGTTGTGTCTAAGAAGAAAAATTTGTTTCCAATTTTCAACAGATGATGAAAAGAAATTAAAAAATGTATTGACAAAATTAAAAATAAAATGGAAAAGTAGTAACCGAACAAAAAAAATATTTTTGAAGACACATGACACTTGGTTAAAAGCCTCAACAAATATTTGTGTAAGTTATTTAATGCTTATCTCTATTAAAGTTTTAAACTTTTTTATATTTACTAAACATTTAAATAATTTCAGATTGTTCAAGCACGAAACAAAGAGAAAAAAAGCCATAGTGCAATGGGTCGACCACCTTTGAATTTTGATGAAGCAAGTGAGCGAACGAAACGGCGAAAAACAGAGGAAATGCGGGAGTTACAGTTAAAGATTTACCTTCCACCATTCAACACCGAGTCGCAAATTATATAGAGAGCCTTAAATTGTCCCAAATTTCACAAACATCTGAACTATGTGCTGAAACAGCTCTTTCCATACTAATGGAAGCAAAGCTTTCTAAACACCAATATTCATTATAAGAAGTGCTGCAATTGCGAATAGCTCTTCTTTTTTACCATCTTACGAAAAACTTAAAGAAGCCAAGAAAATGTGTTACCCTGAAGATATAACGGTAACTGAAATAAGCGCCGAAGTAAAACTGCAATCTTTATTAAATCATACTTGTTTACGAATTATAAAAACTCAACAAGATGTAATTGACTCCTTGAATGTAAATATTTTATCAAATTTTATTTAATTCTTAAGTGGGGGTTTGATGACAGTTCCGGTCATAGCGAATATAAACAGAGATTTGCCGATGGAAGAAACTCAGATACAAATGTTTTTCTGACTTCACTTGTACCATTACAACTTTTGTGTACAAATTCAGTTTTAGGTCAAGATGTTATTCTATGGAAAAATAGGACACCCTCATCTACTCGATTTTGCCGACCTATCAGACTGCAATTTCTTCACGAAAATGTCCATACAAGCATTAATGAAAAAGACTATATTGAAAATAAAATTAAAAAACTGGTTCCTCTCATCATTGTTCAACATAAAATAGAAATTAAAATACATTATAAATTGGTTATGAAAATGATTGACAGAAAAGTTTGCAATGCAATAACATTGACGAAATCAACAATGCGGTGTTATTTGTGTTCTGCTACTTCGAGTCAATTCAATAATATCAATTTCGTTAAAGGAATAAAAGTTGACGAATCAAAATTGGAATACGGTTTATCAACGTTGCACGCATGGATTCGCTTTTTTGAATCTTTTTTGCATCTTGGGTATAAACTTGGAATAAAAAAATGGCAAGCACGTTCTGAAATTGAAAAAAGTATAATATTACAACAAAAATTGTTAATCTAGAATGCTTTTAAGCTGCAGCTAGGGTTAATAGTTGATCGACCGAAACCAGGATGCGGTAATACAAATGACGGAAATACAGCTCGAAGATTTTTTAAAAACTCACAAGTGTCTGCTGATATTCTAGGAGTGGATTTAGAACTAATAAATCGGTTTCATGTAATTTTACAGGTATTATCTAGTGGCTTTCCTATAGACGCAGACAAACTTGATAACTATTCTACCGAAACTGCACTACTTTTTATTGAAAAGTATCCTTGGTACAACATGCCTAAATCAGTACACAAAGTACTTATTCATGGAGCCTTAATAACAAAAACAGCAATACTACCCATAGGACAACTATCTGAGGATGCACAGGAATCGAGAAACAAAGACTTAAAAAAATATCGCGAAGATTTCTCTAGGAAAAATTCCAAAAAAAATACAATGCATGACGTTTTTTGCAGACTTCTGGTTTCGTCAGATCCTGCAATATCTTCACTTTTAAAATCTCATGCAAAATTTAGCAGATCTTTGTCTTTTCAAGCTTTACAAATGTTATTACCTCCGGAGATTAACGAAAACTCTGAAACTCATTCGTCTGTGATTGAGTTTATCAACAATATTTCAATACTAAATGATTCAGATGACAGTGGTGATTTATTTTAAAGTAATATAAATGAAACAATTATGATAAATGATGCAAATAAAAGTTTTCCTTGTTTTTCTTGAAAAAATAAATAAGTAGAATAAATAATGAATTTTTCAATTTATTTTTCTTAACATTGCGGCATAATAATACGGTCATAATACATTATATATCGGTATTATATATAATGTTTATATATGTAATGTAAATAATACATTAGTCTATTGAACTTAAATGTCGAATTAGAACTAATTGGTTAAACACGAAGGCCCAAAGGCATTTCTAATGATTAATGAATTTAAAACACCGCAATTTTGGATCTGCCATTATTGAATTTTGGTACACTTATGTAAAATTCAAAGTTGGGGATTCAAAAAAATGCTATACAAAAATTTTCCATTAATTATAATCATTTTTTGATTTTTGGCCAGGTTTTTTGAAATTCCGCCCACTGTGCACCGGACCTAAAAAAGACGTCTTTTGAACGTTCAAAAGACGTCCAAAACGTTCAAAAGACGTTCAAAAGACGTCCAAAACGTAGATAAGACGTTTAAAAGACGTCTTTTTTTACGTCCGTGCCAACTGGGAATTTATGGACAACTTCTCAAAAGAAAAAATACTCAGAATGTTTTGTAAAAAGTGAATTGAATATGCGCAAAAAATAATTTTATATAGGTTTCTGAAGGTTCAAAAAGGTTGCAAAAAGTAGATATTTCTAAAAGATTACAAAACATTTCAAATGGTACGAGAATATTACGGAGGGTTTGAGAATATTCTAGAAAAATACAATTAGTATAACAATTTTTCAGAAAGTTATATTTTTTCGTATAAGATTAATACGGGCAGATCTACAAAAACCTCGATCTATTAGTTTGTTCTTCAACAAGAATATCTACTAAAAGTGGAACTAATTTTCAGATTTCCTACTGAGGCTTAAATTGTTTTCAACCGATTATAACATTTTTTATCTTCGAACAATTTATGACGTTTTTATTTACAACCGATTTATTTTTCGACTGAATTTCTAGATTTTCAGTTTAACCGATTTTAGATAAATTAATTTTCAACCGATTATAAGCGATATTCGTTTCAACCTACTAGCATGTGTTTTGTAACGCTTTTTCTTTTTACTCTTTTAAGATTTTTATTTTTATAAAAAAACATTAACAACAAATCAATAATAGACATATCTGACATCATTTTGAAATACCCTACAGCTGTAGGCTTCAGTACATACATCGACTACCTTATAGCCTGCTGCCGGTTGGAGAGTGCCGACAAATCAACTGAAGGTTGGGGCATATTTTTTTTAATACAAATTTAAAAAATAAAGTTATAATTAAAAATAATGTTAAAGGTAAATTAGTCATTTCTAAGCATTTTATAATAGTATTAGCGCAATTAGATTTTTGTTTGTGAGATATAGAGGGGTACTAAAACTGAAATCTGAGTTTTCAAATTTCAAAACAAAGTTAGGATTAAAAACTAGGAATAACTTTGATTTAAACATATTAATACTTTTTTATACCACAACACAACAGAACAAACAAAAAGTACAATAAAAATAACCCACCACTACTATACGCTTTGAACAAAGCCAGTTAAAAATTTTAAACACATTCTTAAACGAGTTAGCCAATCGTATTACAAGTTAGTTCGTTACTTATTTCCATACGCATGCGTGATTGATCGTATGCCGCTTTCTTCTAACTTGCTGTTCAACGTTTATCTCAGTTTAAGTTTTTTTTGTTTTTTTTTTCTGCAACGAAGTTTAATTTTGTTTACGTTAATATTGAATGAAAATAACGATAATCATTAGAGCTTAGAACAAAATTATACTTTGTGTAAGTACGACATATATATTTTTTGAAATACCTTTGTATATAAATTCTTATTACTTAAGAAGAACATTTTGTTTATAAAGTAAAAGCACGAGGTCTGAGGCGAGTAAAGTACTGAAACAAATTGATCCAGCAAAATCATGTTATAAAATGCGGAAAAAAAACACTTTTTGTGAATATATTTGACAAAATAATAAACAAAAGCTAATACTTTTTATTTATTCTACTCTATGTTATATAATAAAACTTGTTTTAGTATATATATACATATATAAATATATATATATATATATAAATATATATATATATATATATATATATATATATATATATATATATATATATCTAAATATGTATATGTATATATATATATATATATATATATATATATATATATATATATATATATATATATATATATATATATATATATATATATATATATATATATATAATAATAATAAGAATCTTCGTTAAAACATGTTCACGCTTTTGAAACGTTTTAAGAGCGGTTAGGTTACGATTTAGCGCAAATAAAATAGTCTTACATGTCAAACCAGAATTAAGTGTATTTTATCATAAATTTTTTTTTCATGTATTATCAAAGATCGAAAGTTAACTTTTTTAACAGCAGTCATTATCGCGGGAAATGGCTGTCGACGTACCGTTGATAGTAGTTATAACATAACAACCAATGACGCAAACCACTTTTTTATGTTAATATCTTCTTTAAATATTTTAATAAGAAAACATAATTGTAAACAATTCGAAGAAAAAAAGAAAGTTACCTTTATTAAAATAAAAATTTGTTCAATTATCAAATTAATCTAAGTTACGCCTAATTAATGCAACGCCACTAAACCAGCAAACTCAGATTTTATAATTAGAAAATGATTATTAATAAATTACACATTTTATAATAGTATATATATATATATATATATATATATATATATATATATATATATATATATATATATATATATATATATATATATATATATATATATATATATATATATATATATATATATATATATATATATATAGAGTATTTTAAAACCTTAGTCCTTTTCTCACTATACCAAGTGAGAAATTGAAAAACTGTTTACTTATCTAAGTAGTTTTTTAATTTCTTACTCATAATTTTGCTTGACATAATTCAAAAGTATTGTTTAATTTAAGTTATGTTCAAGCAAATTTTTATTCCTAAATAACTTCTGCTTTATAGGATAAGATGCCTAAGTGTCTTGATTTTATTTTGATTTTTTAGAAATTTGTTTTGATTCTAAATTGTTTTCATTCTTGTTTTTATTCTAAATTTTGTGATACCTTTCATCCATAAAAAAGATAAAGACATTTTAATATTATCAAATAAATATATTTTAATATCATCCATAAAGAGGAAAAAAAAAAATTTTAGAATCAGGAAGAAATTTAAAAAGTAAGGCGCTTCTGTGCACCCTATTGTTAAAGAATAGTGGTAGACTTTAAATCAGTATTACTTTATGAGTGTCTTTTTTCTTTATATACTTAACTTTGTATATTTCTCTTTGTTAATAGTTACTGATCATCTACTTTTTCATTCTAAATTTTATTCTGTTTAAATGGAATTGAATTTTGGTATCTTGCTCAAATGGTACCATATTCACTTGTCTTAAATAAGCAAAAAATTTTATTATTATTACTCATTTATGAGAATAAATGAGTAATAATATTTTTATTATTATTCATTTTTATTAACATTAACTTTCCTTTTTATTTTTAGTATTTTCTTTTCCTTTAATTTTATGCCTGTTTTATTTTCTGTGTAATTTAATGTCTAATTTCTCTTGCATGTTGATGCGTAGTCTCCTTGTATAGTTTGTAATTGTATTTTTGTTTAAAAAATTATTCATTATTACATCAGACTTAATACAAAACAAAACAAAACAAAAAAATATTATCAATCTTACACTTAATATTTATGTTAACTATTTAATTTTTTTTAGTTACATTAAATAATGATTTTTTATATAATTATGTTAAATTATTATGCAAGTAATACTATGTAATTGCCATTATAAATTGATAGTTATAATGATAGGCTATGCAGAAAGAAGTTGAAAAATGTTTACAAAGGCAAGCAGAGGTAAATTTATTTTTAAAAATTTGATTATTTTAAACATTTTTTTTTATTAATAGGCGTTATTATTAATCTAATTGTTCTGTTATAAAATAACAAAGCAATTAAAAAATTAGTTTCCTCAATCAAGGTGTTATTATGATATAAATCTTAAGATAAAATTACGCATGGAGCACTTAAAAATCATATAAAATTAGACATAAACATGGTTTTATAACTAAAACTGATTACTATCTAAAAATAGAATTGTGCTTAGTTGTTGTTCTGATTGCTTTTCCTTTTGATGTTTTTTTCTATGAAGTTTATTTGAAGACAATTTTTTTGGCTTGTATATGATTATCTAAAACAATTATATTTTATTAAAAGGCTTTATTTTTTTTTAGATATAAGTTCTTGTCTAAATTTTTAAAATTTAGGTATTTTTTATTCCTCAAAACTTATTTGTATAATGTAGTAGTTTTTGTCCATCCCATCAAAGGCCATTTTAGGTAAGTTGTGCTATTGTTATTTACCTTCTGGTATTCCAAAAAAGTTTTATTAGTTTAATGTCACCTAGTATCCCAAATTAATTTTTATTAGATCCTTTTTTTTTTATTATACTAATAACTAAACGAAGTAAGAATTGTGGTATTTCAAAAGTATGCTAGCAATTTAATATTTGCACAATATTATAAACATTTAACTATTCTAGGCGCATAATCAAGCAAAGTTTTGCATAACCAAGCAAGGTTTAGCATTATCAAGCAATGTTTCTTTACCAGTTCTGTGTCAAAATTTAGTTTTTATAAGTATGTTCAGATGTTATTCAGATGTTTAAACCTTTTGTGATGTTAATTTTTGAAAACTAAATTTTTCGTGATTTTAATTGTAAACTATTATAGCTGAAAGTTTTTTTACAATTTTTTTTTTACATCTATAAAAGTTTACAAGTAAAAATTATAAAAAATATTACATATATGTCTACAGTTTGCATTACCTGTAGTTGTGACAAACTGTGCCCACTAATTACTATTTGCATTGTTTACACTGTTTGCTTTCTGATAGTTATAGTAAGTGACTATGTGAGGGTATTTTTTTAAATAGTGCTCAATTTCTACTCTTTAAATAATTTATTATTTTATGTGAGTTGTACTAATATTCTTAATTTTATGATGGTAACCCTTAAATTAATGTGCTAAGGCAAGCTATTACTCCATTTAAAGTAAGCAACTGATCTACATTTTTTTATTATCATTTTTTTATTTTCATTTTGTTTTTTATGCAGGCCATTTCTCCGAATCAGTCCGAAGAAAGCTTTGGTAATAAAGGTCAAGAATTTAAATACACCAATTGCGGTTTTTGTCAAGGCATTATACCAAAATACTATGTGCAAAGAAATGGTGCTGTTACACATTGCTCAAAAATATGTTCTGAAATGACTAAAATAGTAATGTTTTTTTAAAGTTATTTATGAGAGGCTAAACTAATTTTATAACCAATCTGTTATAAATACTATTAACTAAACTAAGTTATTATGTAGTAATTATGTAAACTATGTAATTGTGTGATATGTGCCTGTGTAAACATGTACAAATGTAAAGAAATATGTTCATGTACTAATGTAAAAATGTACCAGCAAACATGTAAAACAACCATTTTAATTTTTTTTCAGATGAAAAATGAAAGTCCTCATTCATTAAGAAATAGCAGTGACCCTCAAAACAAAGGTGTATTGAGTATATTTTTTAGTTTTATGTTGATTTTTAATAGAATCTAAAAAATATAAAATTTAATTATATAAAATATCTTCTTTTTTAGTGTTTCATAAAAAGGTTTTATGACCAAATTTATATTATTTATTTTTTTATTGTTTCATAAAAAAGCTGTATGAGCAAATTTATATGAAATTTTTTATGCATAAAAATATGTTTATAATAAGCATTATTTTCAAAGTAAGTTGTTTAATTGTTGATGATTGTATGTGTCAATGGAATATTACATATAATTAGGTGCAATGTGTTTTAGAAAAGTTCTCCCAAAGACATTGGAGCTTTTACAAAGAAGTACTGAAAGAAAGAGCAGCACCTACATTTGCATTCTCTCAGGTATTACTAAACTATTTAAATAAAATTTTAAACTTAAAGATTTAAAGTTGTACAATTAAATTTTTAACAAATTGAATAAAAAAGTTATTATTAGTAATACGGTTAAATTTATTTTTTATTCTATCATTGCTCTAATTGAATAAAAAAGTTATTATTAGTTGTATGATTACATATATTTTTTATTCAGCTGACAGAGCCAGTTGCTAGCCTTGAACCTGGTATGAAGCTTGAATCTTTGGATATAAATAACCCAGTAAACTATTGTGTTGCCACTGTCATTCAAGTACTTGGTCATAGGCTCAAAATTCGATATGATGGTTTTGGAGATGATTCCAGTAGTGATGTCTGGTTTAACTTTCAAGCAGATGAGTTGTATCCAATAGGCTGGTGTGCTAGTCATGGGTATCCTTTGCAACCACCCACTGGTAAAATTAAATTTTTTTATAGCTAACTAGTATTATTGTTAATTGTTACAATAATTTGTTGAGTATGATAATTTTCTATATGTTTTTCAATTTTTTTTTTTTTAAACATAAAAGATCTTTTTTGCTTAGGGTTTGTCTTTATAAAGATCTATTTTAAAACATTAAAGATGTATTTTGAAATCTTTTTTTTTTAAGTTTATTTTTTCTTATCAATTTTTTTATTTTTATAATTTTATATTATATTGTTATTTGATTTTAACAATTCTATATTATCATTTTTATAAATATTATATTCTTATTAGGCATTTCAAGTACATTAGCTGAGTGGAAGTCATTTCTTACAAGAACTTTAACTGGTGCATTGGCTGCACCAAATGATTTATTTAAAAAGGTTATCACCTAAATATTTATATAATCTTTATAAAAAAATAAATGTGAAATAAATTATATATATATATATATATATATATATATATATATATATATATATATATATATATATATATATATATATATATATATACATATACATATACATATACATATACATATACATATGCATATGCATATGCATATGCATATGCATGTACATATACATATACATATACATATACATATACATATATATATATATATATATATATATATATATATATATATATATATATATATATATATATATATATATATATATATATATATATATATACTTACAGGTAGAAAATCGAAGAGCATTAAAGTGTCATTCTTATTTAATTGGGGATAAAATTGAAGTAATTCATCCAAAAAAAACTAGTGTTATTGTTCCAGCTACTATTACAAAATCATTAGGTCCTTACTATTTTCTTGTAACATGTGATTCCATGCCTGGAATATCTAGCTATACATTTTATGGGTATGCTGATTGCCCTGGTATATTTCCAAAAGGTTGGTGTGAGTCAAAAGGTCTTGAACTTGTTATTCCCCCAGGTAAATTTTTATACATCATACATTTTGTGAAGGTATGTTTTATTTTATATTTATTATGCATATTAGGCCAAAGATTTAGTTAATAATTACATTATTAACTAAAGGTAAAAAAAAGAAAAATTATATTACATTCGGCTGTTGCAAAAAACTTTGTCCCATTGAAATTTTTTCTATGTTTTTTACCCAAAATTTTAATAAAAGGTAAAAAAAACTACAAATATACAACATCTAGTGTTTTTCTCTATTTTGTACTTAGTCATGTCTTTTATTTTTAATCATTAAATCCATACATTTTGGTATGTGATTTTCCGAAAGTATTTTGTTATGTGATTTTCCGAAAGTATTCTGGGTCCATGTCGTTAAATCATGTTCAAATGATCTCTGTTTATAATTACGGAAGGAATGTTGCACAGGCTCTTTGAATTTTATTTTTCATTTATTTTTCATATATTTTGTTTTGCATAAAATCTTCTTACTCAATGATGTCTAAAGCGTCTAAGAATTTTGTTTCTAAAATGTTAATATAGCATACATAATTGATTGTTTGGTTCTTCGTCCCTCTTCTTTTAGCACCACTAAAACAGCATCGAACCATTATGTGTTCATAGTGTTAAACTGTTTTTCTATTTTCTCTGAGGTCGGCGCACATGGATTCAGTCCTTGCTTATGATGAAAAATTACTTTCGTCACTCTACATTTCATAGGACCTCTGCTCAGGTGTCCAATGCCTATATCTATGAGCAAATTGCCATTGTTGCTTGATCAAGGTTAATATGTTTTTTTCTTAATTGCCAGGTTAACATGGATTTTTAGTTCCTACTCTATTTAACAATAAATCTGCTTTTTTACTGGTCAATTTAGGCCTACTAGATATGATTTTATGACTTGGAACTGCTCTAATGTCAAGATGTCTTGATTGCAGTAAAAGCTTACTTATTGTCCTTCTTGAACATCCATTACACTCACAAATAATGTTTATAGACACATTTTCATAGGCCAAGGTTTGTTAAAATAGGCCAAGGTTTTTTGTGGTAGCTGAATGCTACTGAGCAATTTCACGACCGTCACAGCGTGACAACCGTCTTTTTTTTTGTCTTAAGCCTTCATTATTTTAATATTAAAATAGGTATAAAAAGATTTTTTTTTGCTATTTAGTTAGCTCATAATAGGTGCTACAAAAAACAAGAAAAAAAATTTGGGTGGATTTATAAGCCTCTCATTTATGCAAAAAAAAATTAAACTTCACAGCGTGACCAAAATTTTCTCATTGTTTTTTAGTTTTTAGATCAACACTGCAATTCAGCTAATATGGATGAACTGAATTATTAACTTGGCATTAAACAAAAAGTTTAGACATTAATCTTACAAGTTTTATTGCTAAATAACATTAAAAATTAAATTTCAAACAGGCGCACCTTTAATTAACTAGTGGTAAACGTCACAGTGTGACCAGACACATTTGGGTATTTATAAACCAGGTAAATGGGCTGTTTTTAACAAATTTAAAACTTAGTAGAGAGATATTAGACAAATATATAATTACATCTTCATAAAAATAGTTCTTAAATATAATAATTTTCAGAACACGCCCATAATATATTAGTGTCAAATCGTGTCCATATTATATTGCTGTCATATATACAACATTTTTAAGTTTTTCGGTGATTTTATCTGAAGACGTAAGTTGTTTCACTAAATACTTGGCACTTGAATAGGGTCGCATTTCTATTTTCTCATTATTGTTTTGAATATGGTGAGCTGCAACTATTCCTGGTTTTGATGGTGCTTTTGTAAATAACTCATCAATTTTAAATTTTTTTACTGTATTTATTACATCTTCCATAGAAACTAAATAGACATTGAAATTAGTCTCATTTTTAACAGCTTCATGAAAAGTTATGGCATCAGTTATTATAAATTTTCTCTGGATTATTTTTTGCGTTGCTATTCTTTTAATGGTCCCACCAATAGCATCTACTGGTCCTTTCCCATGTGAAGCAGCAAAAAAGTTCCAGAATAATTTTAAATCATGCTGTTCTTCCAACCAGGGTATTGCTGATGCAATAAATCAATTTTTGAATTGATTTCTCGGCCTGTCTGTCCAAACCTGTAGTATTTTAACACTTGATTTAATATGGTTTGATAACAAAGTATGAACAAATACAAGAATAGAGTCTTTCGAGTGGCTTAAATCATCTGAAACTATGGCAGCTGATAAATCATCTGAAACAAAATACAGCAGTAAACACAGTAACTTGACTCTTGTGCCAATGTGCGGACTGCACTTCATCTTGCCACAAAGTTAAAAAATTTTCAGAAAAATCTACTTGAAGAACATCTGTGTCTGTATTACTTTGAAGTTGGATCTTATGATCAGGATATGTCTTTGATTGTTTCTGTTTAATAAAATAATGCCAAAGAAATGAAGGTAAAGATTTTGAAATGGTGCTGTAAAGATCATCAACTCTTCCCTTTTTTTCAATTTTTTTCTTAAAATGTATTCTTTTCTATTACCTTCTGCAACTTTTTCCCATTGGTACCATGTAATGCGTTTATTCTTGTCAATTTCATTCAAAACATATAGATTATGAAACTTTGCTGCATCTTTACATTTTGTACACATATTATTATAACAAATTTCTTTTTCGCTATCACATACAATGCTAAGAGGAAATTCATGTGAATACAATGGAAAATTTGAATCAAACTTGTGCAGGGCTTCAAGGATAAGGATTATATTTTGATGTCGCTGACAATAACAAACGTTTCTTATCATCACGCTGTTAAAAATCAATTACCAATTTTACAGTTAAAGCATCTAATGCATTTTCACTAAGTATTTTTTCTGGGCTAGGGATTTCATTCATTTTTGTTAAAAGTTTTTGTACAACTTTAGCCCTTTTTCTGGTTGATTTTGGTAGTACTGACTCGGCTCTCTTAACAACCTCAAGGATAGCTGAGCATTCATCTTCCAAGTGTTGCCTATGCAAAACCTATATTTTGTAGCTTTTGTAGTCGCGCAATAATCTGGGCCATGAAGTTGATAAAAACTCAACTGTGGTTTCAGTTTAGCAATTTTAAATATTGTTTTAAATTTTGTCACGCCGTGACGTCACGGCGTGACATAAAAAGATTCAAAAAATAACATAAGGTAATTATTTTTTTAAACATGTTAGAATTTTTTTAGATGCGCTAGATGGATTTCTCATTGCACTGGAATTTTGAAATCCTAAGTTTTACTGGTTGTCCTAGAAATAAAACTATTGGTACCCTAATTGTCACAGCGTGACAATAGTGGTAATAACATTTGATTAAAATAAATGGTTTTCTGGATTCGTCTAGCAAAAAACATGTTTTTATCATGATTAGTGCAGCTAAAAACCTGATTGCAATGAGCAAGACAGTTTTTGAATTTTTTATAGGTTCAATTGAACTTTGACAGTTAAAAATGAATTAAATTATCGCAAAAACACCTATTTTTACGTTCTGTTTCAGCCCATCTTATTTTTTATAATAGTGGCATACTATAACAAGCTATATATTTTCTGAAAAAGGAGACTCAGGGCTTTCTACTGATATATAGCATTATGTATATTGGCTTGTTTTAATTTTTTCATTTATTGTGAGACGGTCATGGAATTGCTCTACTTCCAGGTTGGGTTACTGTTTCCTCTAAATATTTCATTTTGAGAATTGAGATAAACTGGCACTATTTTAAAATTAATTATTGATTTGATAATAAATTAAGAACTTATAAGTTCTTTTTTTTTCCGCAAGATCAGACAAAAAGTTTAATTTTTATTTAAAAAGTTCTAAATAATTGTAAAGAAATGTAAAAATGATGAAATTCCTTTCTTAGTATTATTCTTACAAGAGTAATTTTGTGAAATTTAATTTACTTGTGAAATATTTTATAAGTTAAATAGTTCAAGATGTAGGAAGATAATTTTTTATATGATAAAAAGAATAAATTCACTGATACTCTTTTGATTTGTAAATTTTCACTTTTCATTTTTACAAATTTTTATTTGTGTTATACAATAACAGCCTGTTTTATAATAATAAAAGAGATTTTTTTAACCTTTTTTTATTGAGAAATGAGAAATTTAAATTAAGAAAAATGTCTGAAGAGTTGCATTGTTATGCTTTTTTACATAGAGGGAAAAGGTGATGTACATATGTTATTCAAACCTGACATGAATATTGACCTTGGAGGCTTGAAGGTATTTTTTAAGTTAATTTTTTTAAAGTATAACAATTAAATAGTTTTAACCAATAAGTCTTACAAATTGACATTTAATTTTATGATATATTTTATTATTATAACAAGTAACAAATAGTAACCATAGTAACCAAATATATCCATAAAGAATTAAGATTAACACAGGAACAAAATCTGACTGTAACTCACCGTATCATTAAATCCAGTGAAGTTTATCAGCAAATGTAATGATGAATTTTGAAACAATGAATAGCAATATAATTTTTACAAAGGAACTCTTTAAATATCTCTACGAAATTTAAGATGTTTTAAAAATTTATCTGATATTTTTTGCACTTCCTAGAAGCCCAATTATTGCCAAAGATGGTGAGTGGGTTTCTAGCAAGAAATGGGAGTCAAAGATTTTCTTGATATTGCTAATGCCGATATTGTAAAAAATGAATTCTCTTTATTGTCAATTAACAAAACTGGCTTTTTGGTTAACTTTTTTGATTTTTTTGGTTTCGTTGTCTGTTAATAAAACTGGCTTTTTTGGTTAAAGCGCTTTGATTATAAAATCTAGGAAACCTAAATTCTAGAACATTGTAAAAAAAATCTATTCCTTGGATTATTCCCAGGGTTAAAAACCATGATTTTTTTGGTTAAAATAGCATTTTTTTAAAAGAAGATATGCTAAGTTAATTTTTATATAAATATAACTATTATTTTTAAAAAGAAGATATATTAAGTTTTATTTAAATATAAGCATTATTAATTTTATTTGAGTAAATTATCTTTCTTAGTCACAAAAAAGTTTCTGTGTTAAGTACTTTTAGATTGGAAGTGTTATTATGTTATCAATTTAAATATTTTTAAAATTGAGAAATAATAAATTTTGAATCCCTGTTACAACATTTGCTAACTTATTTTGAGTATGTATAACAGGTTTTAAACAATTTCTGACAGTATCTACTAATAGCAGTATCCTCTTTTCAACATGAATCTAATGATACCTGTTATTTTGAAGATGTATAGCATGTTTTTATTACAAACCTTGTTTGTCTTACTATTGTTCTTGTATATTGGCAGTCACCAGCTCAATTAGCGATAGCTGACTTGTGTTTCACAAACATGGCATGTCTTACTAATTTTTTTACATATTCACATTCATCAACTCAACTAGAAATTGCTGACTAGTCAAACTTTCTCAAATAAAACCACAATTCATCCCTTGTCACAACATCAGATCTGTCTCCATAGATTGTTTCTGAATAGGGATAAATTTTCTCATATATCTTAACTCTATTTTATTGAATGAATAATTTGTGGGCCAATGTGATGCTGGTTTTCTTTTTTTAAGAGAGTTGTGAAAAGTATAATTTTTTAATTTGTAAAATTAATTAATTGATGACAAGGCTTCAATTGTATCATGTATTGCATGAGATCTTCAATAACAATGTGTGCTGATAACGCTTGATTATCTTGAAAATGTTACCAGCATTTTTATCTCTCTTAATATAAGGATGAGCATTTAAACTAAATATTTTTGTAATAACTTGATGTATTAAGTTAGTTTTGTGGATATTGTGAAATGCAGTAATTAGTTCTTTTAATGATTGTATAACTTGATTATTACCCACTGTTTTTAATATTATTTGTTCTTTAATTTTAATATTTCTATCATTATTTCAATCATACTTTATCGATATTTTTCAATATATCATTTATTATTCTATAGAGAAAGATTAAATTTGTCGCTTATTCTCCATCTACTCAATCCTCCATTATCAGTTAAAAATAGTAACAGTTAGCAGTTAAAAAGTTCTTGTATTTCCTTCTCCAGAAGCAGGTGTATTTAACAATGCTTTAATGTCCATTATAATTCCAAAATCAAAAAATTTTAAATATTTTTTTAGTTTAAGAAACTTATTTTTACTTTTCGCTTTTAAATAATTATATTTATATTAAACATTTACATTAAAAAATATTTTTTAATTTGTAACTATTTATTTACTTTTTTTTTTCATTCTTAATTTGGTTTAATTTAGTTTTATATTCTATGAAAATTTTTCTTGATTCAAATTTAAAGTTAACTTTAATAAATATGTAAGAGAAATGTCTTAGGAAAATTCTACAATAAACATCAATGTAATGTTAAATATTTAATCACAGTATAGAAAAAAGCCTTTTTTTGGTTTTTTATTGTCTAAAAGTTAATTATGATATAAAAAGTTAATTATGATATAAAAAGTTAATTATGATATAAAAAGTTAATTATGATATAAAAAGTTAATTATGATATAAAAAGTTAATTATGATATAAAAAGTTAATTATGATATAAAAAGTACAATTTGTTATTGTTCTACAGAAAAATCGAATGTGCTCGTTTAAACTTGGAGCAAAGTTAGAAGCACTTTATGATGATTATGTACGTGTTGCAACAGTTGCTGAGATTTTTGGGGGAGTTGTACTACTTGCATTTGATGGATCTTCAGATGTCCACTTTATTGACAAAAGATGCACAAATATTTATCCAATCGGATGGTCAGAAAATACAGATAGTGTACTTTTTACTCCACTTGGGCTAGGTAGTTTTATTTCTCCAAAGATAAATATTTTTTTAATAATGAGAGAATTTTTTTATTTTTGACATGGTAAGTATCTTTGTTCAATTAAAATCCAAGAAATGATTCATTGATGTTTAATTCCCTCTCCCCTTTTTATTTCCCCTTTTTTTTTACACCAACTTTAAGAATTTTAAAAAAATTAATTTTAGTGACATTTGTGAAGATTATGAAACCTGTTAAAGGGTAAGCTTTAAAAAGTTATTTTAAACTAAATTTAAATTAACATCTTTTTAGTTCAAAAAACAAAAACAAAAGCAGATTTCTTTAATTAAATTTTGTTTTTTGAAAATTCATCCTGATGTAGCAGCACTCCTTGCATCTTCTACCTATTTGTCAGTTTATGTAGCAGCACTCATGTACTACCTATTTGTCAATCATGTATGTACACTAGAGTTATAACTAAAAATTTTTTCATCTCCTGTGGTTGTAAATGATGAACTTTTGTAACCTAATTATTTAAAAAATATTATTAGACTTAGTTCAAAAAAAAATTCCTGCACCAAGACGCCCAATAGCATGAAGGGTGTCTTATTTTATTAAAAGTATTTTTCTCCTAAAGTATGTTAGACCTCAAAAGAAGTGAAATTTTATAAAGATGAAAAATTTATGAAAATAAATAACGATATATTTTAAATGTAACCTTCTTAAAGAAGGTAATGTTAAAAAAAAAAAAGAATTAAAAAGTGCTATTTTCAATTTTATTTAAAAGTTTTTTTTTTCAATTTTCTATGAAATTTTGTTTCTTTTGAGATCCAATTTCATTACTTTTAAAAAAAAAAATTTTCAGTTGTACACGGCACCCAGCATAACGTCAGGTGTTTTGGTGCAGGGACTTTTTTTTGAAATGAATAAAATAATTATAATTTTCTTAATCAATATTAAAATGTTCTTTTATTCCTAATACAGGCCAAAAAATTATTATTTTTTGTCATAACTCTAGACTTTTATGTCATAACTCGTTATATGTTTCTGCCTATTTGGCTGTCAATGTAGTAAAAATTAAAACATTCTGAATGTTTTTATTAAAAAAGTAAATAACATTCTAGCCTATTAAGTTGCCTTTTTGTTGTTTTTTAAAAAACAATAAAATTTAGTTTTCTCAATTAAATGTAATGGTTTTTGTATAAGGTTTACTAGATTTTGTCATCTTTAAACACAAAGAGTTGTTAAGTGATAGTAATATAAAACTAATAATAGTAAATTAAGGTTTATATTATTTATATAATACTTACTTTATATTACTTTTGATATTTCTGCTCCCACCCGTCTATTTTTAGTAGCCAACCTAATTTTTTAATTGGTTGAAAAAAAATTCTTTAATCGTATTTTGCTCTTTGTTATATATGTTCTCATTAATGTAACTTCTAAATGTAACTTATACACTCCTAAATGTAATTTATAAAATTTCTATTTAAAAAAAAAATATTATTTTTGTTTCTTACTTATTATGTTAGTTATCTTTTTAGAATTTGTTATTTATATAAAATTTATATTTTCGGTTATTATTATTATTATTATTCTTTTTGCATAGAAAAGTTCAATCTGCATCATTTGCAACTTTCAAAGACCTTTCTGAATTAAGTAATTTTTATATTTGATTTGATACAATTTTAATTAAAACATTGTAATTTATGTTTGAATTCAATTTAAGGCATATCTATATGTATATATATCCAAATGTATGTTTAAATTTTTTTAATAGATTTAGCAAAGTCATTTGAGCACAAACAACCTGTAGACTATGTTGATAAAACGTAACGATTTTCTCTATTTTTATATATATATATATATATATATATATATATATATATATATATATATATATATATATGTTTACAATATATGCTTTTACAATGTTTAAAAATAATTTTTTGTATATTTTTTTAAGTTTGATAACAAAGTCAGATTCAAAATCCCATGATTCTTCAAGTTTGTTGGCTTCCAAAAACAATTTAAATATGGAAAAGTTTATTCTTTGGTAAGCATGTTTAAAAATTTTTTTAATGTGATGAATTAATTTACCAAAGTATAGATGATTTAGTTAACCAAAATACCCTGATTTATTTTGTAAAAGTGTAAGTTTCTGAAAATAATTTCTTACTTTTTTGAAAATTAAAAATCTTTTTGTATTTCATTATATATAAACAGAGTTTTTTTTATTATTGTTGTTGTTATTATTATTATTATCATTTTGAGAAATTAAAAACTTTCCAATCATCTAAATCCTTAATAGATCTCAATAAAATTTTGGTTTTAATCATAAAGTTTGAATATTATAATTTGACTATTTTAACCTATACTAAATATATTATACACACTATATATTATACACTATATTAAACACAGTTATAATCTTTTCTGGTCTTGTGATTTAAGGTGTAAAAACTTATGAAATAAAGTTAATAATGCTCATAGTCTAATATGAATACTATGATGATTTCAGGAAACTTAATTAGAAAGTTATTTTATTTTACTCAATTTTCTTTATCTAATAATGCTCATAGTCTAATATGAATACTATGATGATTTCAGGAAACTTTATCATTCAATATTTTTAAAAACTATGGAATGATAAAGTTTATTTTTGTTGTTACGATATTTATTTCTCAAAGAAATAAGTAGTTGCTTATCTGGCCAGAGTCAGCACTTAACCATGGGCCTCTTGGTTAGTTACCACTAACCACTGTGCCACAGCTGCTGTAATACTTTTAATTCTGCAACATTTTTCTCAGTTTTGATTGGCAGTAAAAAGTTGCCTTGTATACCAAAAAAAAAATAACTTTAACTGGAAAATAAACCAACTTGTTAGGTTTTGTCCCATTCTAACTTTTAAACCCTCTTGAAAAAGTTCAAAAAATCCATTAGATTAACAGGAACATTCTTATTAACTTTTTAAGTTGACAGAGAAAGTTTCTGACTAATTACACTCTTTACCATGACAACACACTTTACCACAACTATGCACTCTATAATGGTTACGTTACTACCTTGGACAGCATGATTATGCATATTGACATTGAATAGAACATCATCAGCAATAATTTCTACCAGTAGCATGTTTAGGATCAGCAACACTTATAATATGCAAATCAAACCAAGCTTTTTTCGTGCAGTTTTAGCTGGAAAATCAGATTATTATTCTAGTTTCTATTAAGTTAAGTACTAAAGTTGCTTGAAAAACTTGATGTTAACAGTTTTCATCCACCGCTATGTGGAGTACTGGTATTTTAACAATGTATTTTATCACCTGCTTTGTGTGGTATGGGTAACTAAAGGGTTAAAATGAAAGGTTAAACTATACAAAAACATTTTATAAAACTGAAAAAATCCTAGCCTATGTTAAAAAGTAAAGTTAGGATAAATTTATTTTTTAATTTTTTTTTCTATTTAATTTCATTTTGTTTTTGTTAGGCTGCTAAACAACTATGAGTTTAGTGTAGGAAGTGAGGTCGTTGTTTCGCGTTTACTTGAAAAATATGCTCGTCAATCTAAAGCTCCTTGTTTAAGTACAGGGATTCCTGTAATCTTAAATTTGTTTCCGGGAACAACATCAATTACAAAGTTGTTCAATAAGAATTATGTGTATCTTTTCAAAAACAAAAAAGAGTTTTATAAAATCTAGTTGGTGTTTAATCTGATCGACTTTGTGTCACGGAAATATTTTAATCAGAGATGCACGAAATCAGCTGTCAAAAATGTTTGTTTCAAAATTTTTTTGTTTTTAGTTACATTTAGGAGATGCTCATAGACTGTGAAGTTTGAGCTTTTCTTTTTTTGTTTTGTTTTTAATATTTTAATATCTGACAGTTTTTAAAGAGTAATGGTGGTTTAGGTACCATTTCACATTAAATAATAATTTTTTTTTTTTTTTTGGGGGGGGGGGGTTATTTATAAGATTCCTATTATATGCAAAACTGCTGTTTGGGAAAATTTATAAAGCTTATATAATAGTTCTTAAATATATAAAACTTATGTAGTGAATTTATAAGCTTATGTAGTAATTCTAAGAGGCTGCTGCCACATTTAAGAAGGATACTCTTTTTTTAATATTTTATTTTTCAACCCTAAACTTTAAAACACAAACGTTGTTAAACAAAGCTGCTGTGTAAACTTCAATCAGTTTGATTGAAATTAAATGAGGTTGAGCACAGTACTTCCATAGGTGTAGGATGGATTTGAACCTCTAACCTTGTAATTGAGCCAACTACCACTGGTCTACTACCATATAATAATCTTGATGCCACCACTATTCAGGAGCATGTTCTTGGAAAAGGTCTCCAGTTAAAAAACTATTGTCATTAAAAATAAATTTAGTTTTTTCATTTATTTTTGTTCTATTTTTACTTATTTTTTTTTTTTTTTTTACTTATTTTTATTTTTTATTACTTTTTTTTTTGTTGCTGAAGCAAAAATATTTATAAGTTTAAATAAAAAAAGTATATAGTTATAATAAATAATTTTTCTTTAACTTTAAAAACTTTTAAAGCCAATGTATCTTAAACATGAAGGCTTCAAAATTTGAAAAAAAAGGGTTTCCCATTTATGTCAAAGATGCAGTGGATTTTCTTCAAAAGTGTAATGTTTCTTTTAAAATGGGAACAGATAAAGTTGTATTTTATATGGGTGTAGGTGATTCTTTTACACTTCCAGAGGACCAACAGTTGCTTTTTGTTGAATCAAAAGCCAAAGCAAATTCAAATGTTCTTGTAGTATCACAACAGATTAATGATTCAACTTTGTCAAACTTTCTGTTTTACTTTGGTGACAAGCCATGCTCGCCACCTTTTAAAGAGATTAATACTTTTGAAGAATTTTGTGCAATGATAAAGTTATGCACAATGGCAAAGCCTTGTTCTGGAATTAGTCAAAAAGAAGTAAAATCAGAATTTTCTTCACTGTTTGTCAAAAATAATCAATCTGGCGTACTTTTTTCACGAACATGTAATTTAGTTGTCTACTCAAATCAAGGGAGTGTATGCTCTCAGTGTTCTTTATGTGAATTTAAAATCAATGATTCACCCGAGTTATCATCACCATCTCCATCAGTATTGTGAGTAATATATTTTTTAAATCTCTTTTATCTCCTCTTTATTTGTTTAAATAAAATCATACAATATATATATATATATATATATATATATATATATATATATATATAATATATATATATATATATATATATATATATATATATATATATATATATATATATATATATATATTAGAGTGGTCCTTAAAACAGTTTTTTTTTTTCAAATATCTGCTCCCACCCTCTAAATGTGTTCTATATAATAAAATAATACTAGAATTAAAAATTTTTTGAAAAAAATAAAATTTTTAGGCTCAAGTCCCTTTAACATTCGATGGGTCTTTATAATTATCAAAAAAATAGTTTTTCAAAAGTATATCATGTCAGATCTCAAAAGAAGCGAAATTATATAAAAACTAAAAAAATAATCATCATTTTATAAAACATTAAGAAAAATTTTTTTTGCATATTTTAAGTTTTTAGTTTAAAAATGTCATTTTGTAGGCAGTGAAATTTAAAATAATAATTTTTTATAAAATGATGATTATTTTTGAAGTTTTTATATTATTTCGCTTCTTTTGAGAACCAACATGATACATTTTTGAAGAACTATTTTTTTTTGATAATTATAGGAACTATAATTATAGGAAGAATTTTTTTTTTTTTTGAAAATTTTTTAATCCAAGTATTATTTTATTGAACACATTTAGAGGATGGGGGCAGACATTTAAAAAAAAGTTGTTTTAAGGACTACACTAATATATATATATATATATATATATATATATATATATATATATATATATATATATATATATATATATATATATATATATATATATATATATATATATATATATATATATATATATATATATATATATATATATATATATATATATATATATATATATATAAATAATATAATATATATATATATATATATATATATATATATATATATATATATATATATATATATATATATATATATATATATATATATATATATATATATATATATATATATATATATATATATATATAGAGGAAAGCGGGGCAACATGGCGAACGTTTTGAAAGCCCTGAGTTATTGAAAAACTATAAGTCGTGAAGCCATAATACTTTCTCAGTATGTTTATGCTATTAAGTTCTTTCATTGCATGCATAAATTTTCAGTTTGCAAATATAACAATTTGAAATAAATATTAAAATAAAAAGTTCATAAATTTGTCATCTGGTCACGTGACCGGGGCAAGATGACTTATTTTGCAATTTTTACCTCCAATTTTATAAAATTTTAAAAACTTCCAATAACTCTAACTAAAGTAACAAAAAATAAACACAAATTGCAAAAACTACTTCTAAAGTAGTTAAACTTGAAGGACACCATCCATTATTAGAAACCGAAAGTGAGGAATTTTTTTTTTAAGCGCAAAAAGTAATTTTATTTGTATAAAATGGCGTTAATAATATTTCAAAAAACCAATTGCTGTTTTAAAATACAAGATGCAAATACAGTTTCGTTTTTACCCAATTTTAAAATTTTTTGTTGAGTTGTTATATGAAAACCCATCTTGCCCCATTCGCCATGTTGCCCCGCTTTCCCCTATATATATATATATATATATATATATATATATATATATATATATATATATATATATATATATATTTTTTTTTTTTTTTTTTTTGGCATTTAGAGTTTCATTACAAGATTCAGACTTAAAGTGACCCCCCTAAATCCAATTACATTTTGAAAAAATATGCATATATAAAATCATAAAATCATAAATGCCTAATAAAATTTTTTTGAAAAGTATGTCACATTAGGTCTTATAAAAAGTAAAATTATTTTACAAAGTAATGTTTTTTTTTTTTTTTTTGTATTAAAATGTCTTAAAAAAAGTAATTTTAAATTTATTTTCAACAAAAAATATAAGAAGATTAATTTTTTACTTTTGATAAAAAACGATAGTTTAAAATAATAAAAAATTGATAAAATAATTTTTGTATAAAATAGTTATTATTTTTAAAATTTATATATAGTTTTGCTTTTTTGAAACCCAACATGACATACTTTTCAAAAACTTTTTTATTTCGCATTTATGATCTTGTTACAAGATTAAGACTTAAAGTGCCCCCCCCCCCCCTAAATCTAATAACAATTAAGAAAAATTTAAGAGTTGCTTGTGAAAACTAATAGATGGCATTAAGAATAGGACAGATCTTTTTTTGAATGAAGGGGACATTGTATGCACCTTTAACACATACAATTATTATTTATGTAAATAAAATATTATTGTAAACTTAAATAATACAATGATGTTAAATTTATTATTATTATTTTTTTGTAGAATTGAGGATTGTTTCAATTCAAAAGGTAATTTGTTCTACTTTAAAAGTTTAATTACTAGTTTTTTTTAACAAGATTAAATGCCTAATGACCACATATCACAAAGCTGTGGGTTTTAAGTTCAAATAGCCTAAAGTTTAAGGCAAGACCAAGGCAAAATTCAAGTAAAATTCTTTGCTCTTGAAACTCAAGTCTAAGAGTCTAAATGCTATCATTATAGGTATTGAAACATGCTTAACTATGCGAGATCTGTTTTTTAGTAATAATAATAATATCACTAAACACCATGTTATATATACAAAATATGTTTGTTGTTAAATCAAACCAATCTAAAAGCCGTGCCATTAAAAAGAAAAAGAAAAATGCAAAAATAAATGTTGAAAAATGAATGTCAGTGACTTTAAATACATTTTTAGTTTTGTAAAACACTCTGACAAATGCTCATGCTCAAACCAATATCATGCACAATTAATGTGGGATATCCAACTAAGCTTGCTAAAGGTTTTCCTAGGCATTCTTAACTGATGTTAAGGCAAGTTTGAAATTTTGTCTGCATCCTTTTTATAAGTGCTAATTTTTGATTGTTTTTGTGAGAAATGAATGTTTTTTTGTTATTTTAAACAGTTTTGTTTGAATTTTCGTATTTTCTTTATAAAAATGGTTGCAGATTGTTAAGTGCATTTCAGTGTTTTTTATGTGATATTTTTGTATGTGATTTTATGACTAGTGAAATGTTGAAATATTTAGACCTGTTGTAGAAAGTTTATTTCCAGACTCCGGAACCCTAAAGTCTTACCACGCACAACTTTTCACCAGTTGTTTACCCTAAAGTCTTACTACGCACAACTACGCATCTTTTTATGCACAACTTTTCACCAGTTGTTTAAATGTGCTCAAGGGTTTATTTTTTTATCAGCTCTTCATTCATTCATTCCGTTCTTGTGATATATGTGTGCAAGTCTTTTTCGTTCATTTTCCATTCTTGTGATATATGTGCAAGTCTTGAGCCACTGGATTCAAAAGTTTATCCACAACAATTTTCACTGTGCATAAAATGGTTTTAGATTATAGCAAAAAATGAGGAATCTTTTAATTACTGTATTAGCTGGCAAAAAAAAAACAACAACCTGTATTTGATGTGTTTTTCTTTATCTTTTGACAACATCACTATGTAACTACATGAATATGCTATTTAAATAAAAGCTTGCAAAGCTAACACATTTTAAATGAAAATGTGGGTGTTTTTTTGTCAACAAAGAATCTTGATGCTAGTTGTAATTAGCATAGAGAAAACTAATAGTTGCCCTCCAGTGTTGCCCTCCAGTGATCAAAATGTGAAAAAGTTAGTAGTATGTTCAGGCAATTGGATTGATATGGATGCTAATTGGATATAAGTCTGTAAAAGTTCATAAGAAAACACTATTGTTTAAAAATGAAGGAATACAAGCACATCAAACTTTTTGTAAAGACTGTATGATTTTCAGTAAAGGTTGTATAATATTTCAATGACTATTGAAAATAAAATGTTGTTTGTGTGATTAACCTCTGTGTCTATTTCATCAAAACTAATTTTATAAATAATAAAGAATAGCAACAGATTTGTTATATTTAGAAAAACAATGAACTTCTTTTTAGTTTGATTAAGTCTGAATAGTATTATCATACCAATGAGTTTCCTTATAACTTAACAAAAAGTTTTCTAATCCATTTCTTAAAATTAAAGAGT